GAAGCGCAGAGTAGCGCCGTCGCCGTTTTGCCGTTTCGGCGGGAGATTCGAAACCGCCAATTTGCTCGTCGGCCCCGATTGGCCCGCGTGCCTGCACTGCAAAGGCCGCAGCGCAGGGCCGCCAACGTGTGCTGCGGGTGTCTCTGGACTTGTCGTGTTGGCGGAGTCCAGCAGCGGCTTCCTGGCTGGGGAGGGATGGCGCTCTGGAGCCTCCAGCGCCTCCAGCAGGGGCTGCTGCCCGAGGCTGCCCCCGCCCGGCCTCTATACTTAGGCCCCTCGTTGACTCGCTTCACTTTATTACATTATTATGACTGGCCCGCCACCCCTTTGGGCCTTCTGCCTTCCGCGGCTCTGGCTGGCTGCCTGCCTGGCCGGCTGGCTGGCTGGCTGGCGGGGCGGCGGAAAGCCCGGCCTGTCAGCGAATCATTAGAAGGGGCATATGACTCCTTAATCAGACTGGGCCGCCGGAATGCTAACCGCTGGTCAATTACAGCCTGCCAGCCGGGCGCAGTGCGCGCGCGCGCGCGCGTGTGTGTGTGTGTGTGTGTGAGCGCGGTGCGTGAGTGCGTATGGGGTAGGTATTTTCACTCACCAGTTCAAAATTTTCATTTCTCGAGTTCTTGTATATATTTTTAAAAATTAGTTTATCTTAAAAATTTTGAAACTTTTTTTACTTTTAATTGTACTTAAAAAATTTGCCCATATTTTTCCATGCTTTAGTTTTGTTTCTGAGAGGATTTTGCATGTACTTTTTTTTTCCTCTGAGCTGGAGTCGTCTCGTTTCTAACGCACTTTTTTTGTCTGTGTGCGTACGTGTGCCAGGGTGCGCTAGTCTTTATATTTCCCGCATCTTCATTCTCTCGGATTGGACACACCGGGGCTGTACTAATGTCTTCTTTAGCCGATTCATCACACCAATTTCTCATACGGCCGGGCCTTGACCACTTGCTCGCGGGTCAACGGCGGCAAAGGGTCTCTCTCGCTGCTCGGCCTGCGCGGCCGATTCGTCGCTCCGTCTCTCTCGCACCCTCACGGAGAACCCCATGAGTGCGAGAGAGACAGAAACGTCTCTTTCTGAATCGCTCGGCCCGCTTCGGCGCGGCGTGCCGGGCGCCAAGGATATTGACGGGAAACGGCCTTTGAATGCTCAGATTTCACGGCTCCGGGATTAACGATGGGCCCGAGGGAAAGCGCGGGGAGGGGCCAGGCTAGGAAACAATGGAGAGGGAAAGGGGGAATGGAAAGGGGGGAAAGGCTTCAAAAACGGATTCATAATTTGAATTTATTCACCTCAATCGGAGATTCATCGATGCGGCTCGAACGGAAAATGTCCCAAGTTGTCGCGTTGGCGCCACGTTGTTGTTGTTGTTGTTGTTGTTTTGTTGGTGTGGTGTCGGCTTGCTAATTGGCGACGAAAAGGCAAGGGGATTGTGCGCTGCCTACGCGTCTCGGCCGCTACACGGACGACCGGCCGGCCCGACAGAATAAAGAAATAAAAAACGAAAATGGAAATAAAATGATCGAACACGGCGCGGCGGCGCAAGCAGATATTGAATCACCCCCGGCCTGGCAATTAAAAAAAAATGTATTTGTCAGAAAGAGTATGTCAAGTTTCCCGCGAGAAACGGCGGCAGGTGCGGGATGGGGCGCTTCCGAAATTTTATCGTGTTTTTTAATGCGTTTCTTTTTATCATTATAAATAAAAATATCTGGAGGTGTTTCTCTTCTCTCTCTCTCTCTCTCTCACGGACGGGCGCAGCGCAGGACCCAAACTCCGCGCCGGACCGTGCACCGTGTGTACGCAGCAGCGCGCAGCAGGGACGCGACGGTGAGGGCCATCTAAACGAAAACTCAAACACAGATACAAACAACTCAAACAGAGCCACCCCATGCGTGTACGGCGTCAAAACCAACGCCTCTCTCTCTCTCCCGCGCTGCACTGCACACCTCGGTACCGGGCAGTAAGTCATTCCCCGATCTCACACGTATACACTTACACTTACTCACACCTAAACGCGCGCGCGCACGCACGCGCACTGCGCACCCCCAGTGCAAGCCCTGCGAGCCCCAATTCATGACGCGCGATGTTTATCTTGTCAGAAACAAATATCGTCCGCATCATCACCCGAAAGCTATCATTTGAGGCGCTTTTGAGGCGGTCACGGCGCTGCAGGGCGGTGGGCGCCGCAGGTGCCGGACAGGGCGGAGGGGTGGAAGCCGCCTGGTTACGATTGATTCTACGGAATGCCACCTGTGCGTGTGTGCTTGTGTGTGTGTGCGTGTGTGCTTGTGTGCGTGCGTGTGTGCGTATGCCTGTGTGTGTGCGCGCGCGTTAGCAGGTGTGAGGGCGTGGACACCTCGGTCGACGGTGCCTGTCGGCGGCTCCTTTAGGGGTTGTCCACCAGAAAAAGTACCAAAATTATTGTCTGCGCCACTGACGTTTTTTCAAGAAACTATCAGAGAAGAAACATTGAAATTCCAGATAAAGGTGTGTCACGAAATTTTACTTAACTTTTTTTCGCCGGGTAGGGCGTTGAGGGCGACATTGGCGGCGAGAGGGAAAGAGAGAATGGAACACGTGTCCAGCGAAGCCAAAGGGGGCCGTCAACAAATGACCTACAACTGGCGGCCGGTCGCACCGCGTCGAGGAGCGTCTGCCTCACTTTCGGAGAAAGATGTGATAAAAATTAGTCCGCGATACGTTAGGCGTGACAAACCGTGTGTCGTTGCGGCGGCGTAAATCTAACCTCTTCTCCCGCTGTCGCGGGATGCCCCTCGCGTGGGAGCAGCGGGCAGGCAGGCAGGAGAACGGCACCTCTGAGGAATATCTTTCTACACTCCAAAGCCACACGCCGGCCGGCCGGGCCAGGCGAGACGGGACGGTCGTCCCGGGACACGAGCTAGCCCGGTGCGTTATTTATCGAAACCTAATAAGACATTTTGGGGCAATATTTTAAGGCCCTTTTTGCCCGGATTTACATAGATGGGCCGTAAATGAGGCATTAGGTAGGCAGGCCTGGCCTAATGCGAGGTTGGTCACAGATGGGGCATAAACCAACAGGGGACGCGAGGGGTGCCCGTTGAAAGCGGTCTCACCACCTGCGGTAGCATCGCATTTACGCACACTGAGGACACCCCGAATGATGCGCGGTAAAAAATAAAGACAAGCTTGCCAAAAGACAGAAAAAAAAACAATACAAGCAATGAAATTTTTAAAAAGAGATATGTGAAGGTGCCCGGAGCGATAGTAAGTTGTCTTTCGAGTCTTTCTGATTCTCAATACAAACACTCTCGGATATAGTTACCGAGCCGCGCAGGCCGAATCTATCACCCAAATGAATAATTTAACGTGTCTTAGGGGGGAGTCCCGCGCGGCAGCCCCCCCCCCCCCCCACGCTCCATCACGTCACAGAAATTGAATAAAACGGAAAAAAGAGGAAGAAATATTGATGTTTTTCCCGCCGCCTGTTGCGGCGCAGACGTGCTCACCACAATTATTCAAAACACGGGATCCTGATGGAACCCTTTTGGCACAGACAGAAGCACCACAGAAATTAACATGACATTAAAAAGAAACCTCGGAAATAAATCTTTACCAGGCGTTTAGGGTGAGTCACCATGCCAAATGGCGATTGTTGCAGTCAGCGCCTGGGAGATAGGCAACGCCTCGATCGGCAAAAACCGTTTTCACAAGCAGAGTGCTTTCGTCCCACAGACAATGTCCGGACGCCAAACTTTTGTTTTCGGCGTGTGGCTGCACTGCCGTTGAAATGGGCGATAGCCTTCTCGGCGGATGTTTCCGAAAAGTGACGTGGAACGTTGTTTGGTGTGGAGACCACGGAAAGCCACCCACCCACCCAAACACACACACACACACACACACACCTACACACACACACACACACACAGACACACACACCTGCGAGAGGCGCCTCGGCTCCTGTGCCCCCCGCCGATGCGGCCCTGCCGTTCCGTCGGCCGAGCCTGGCCGAGCCCAGTGCCCAGTGCCCATTGGTGGGCAGACTGGGCAGGCAAGGCGGGCCGCATCGCCGCATCGGCACCGCAGGCAGGCACACTGGGACAGCGCGCTGTGAGAATGCCCCGGCCGCCCCGCCGCCCCACTCCACTGTTGGTGTTGGTTTAGGGCGTCCGGCGCGAACACGAACGCACCTTGAACAGCCCATGAAGCCTTCACTCATTCGGGTGAATGATGACGGTACTCATGGGGCTGCAGCGCCCTGGAGGTGAAGCGAGCGAAGCGCGTTGCCGTGGACGTACTCTCCGTCCGCCCGCCGGGACTACATCCTCGCTATGCGCCTCGACGGCCGCCACGCTGCAGCCGGAGCGCGCCAAATCGCTCGCCTCGTCGGTGAGCCACGCCGTGCGTGTGTGTGTGCGTCGGAAGGGCTCCGAGTTTCTTACACGATTCGGGAGGAAAGGCTCGATACTGATGATGTAGTTGATATTCATTAATGGGGCGGCATGAGGCCCTGTAGCCCTGCAGAGCCCTGCAGTGCCGACCGGACCCGTGCCGTCGGTAGGCAGCGAGGCAGTGTAGGTAAAGGCCGAAGGTGTTTTATGGGCCATGGGCCATGGCCTGGGCCTGCATGGCCTGGGCCGGCCACCAGGTAAGGAACCAGTCGCCCATCCATCCTACTTCATTTCGTCCTCGTTTCCCAAATTTTCTCCTGCCTGGTTCTTTTAATCTGCTCCGCGCCTATCTCATGCGGCTGTTGTCTCATAGGGGGATTTGATCCTCTTTTTGTCTGGTCAGGTGTCTCGCGAAGCAGGTGGGCACAATGCTCTAATATGCGTCTGCAGGTGGAACCGCTTAGCCGCGACAGCGTCAAAGGAGTTTTCTTGGTTTGGCACCACCCTCTCATAGGTGGTTATTATATTGTTATCTCATCGCACCTCGTGGTGGTATTCAAACATGCTCGTGAGAAAGCTTTGAGCTGTGTTAAAGTAAGTGGGTCGGGTCAAGGAAGAGAACACCAGTGTAGATTTTGGGTCGCAAATTTATTTATTGTAGAACATTACATTCACATTTAATAACGTAGATAATTTTTTTGAGAGTTTTGGCGACAACATAAAGTCAATTTTCCGGGAAAATTTTCAAATATTGCTTGGCTGTGGGATGACGACCCGAAAAATTACTTGCATGGCTTCTAGCTATACAATCCTACAACTAGTAGAACAGGCAAATAAAATAGCTAGAGTGAAATAGTTTATAGCGTTTGATACAAACATAATAAATAAATATATTAGTGATCATTTCATTTGATGAGCTTTGGCAGTGAACTGGCTATACACACAACAACTTGCAAACTTATAAATATTCCGGAGTAACTTAAACGGGGGAAACATATAAGCTTATTTAAAACATCGCCAGATTTAAAAAAAAATTTAAGAACAACACAGAAGTACAGTACGCACAATAACTGAAACAAAACGAACAAAAGGTAAGTTATTCCTAGTTTGTGTACACACAGTTAAAAGTTGTTTCCCCCCATGCACATAAAACTAATACTCGTTCAAGAGTGGAGATGCGCCGGAAAGGATTGCAAGCAAGACGAAGGGAAAACTTAGTTCCCGCGTCCTTTCGAGCCCTTTCTGAGCGGCGACAGTTGACTTTCTGCGTTAAATGTATAATTATACCTTAGAGACGTAATGGAATGCGTCTTTTACGAACTTATGGAATGAGATTTCATCGGGTGGGAACAGGATAATACTGCTGCTTGGATAATACTTGTACTATAATCCTGGCACAATACGAAGCGCCACTAGTGGCTCACATTAGAAACAATGAGGACTAGCATAATACAAACCTTAAACCGTAAACGTCGCCAACAGTCGTTGCCCTGTTTGCATTTTGCTCCAAACAAATTGCAAACAAGACACAAATTACAAACGGGCTGCTCGCCGATTATTACTTTGTTTTGGCACGGTAAAGATTTGAGATATTGTAATTTTAAAACTCGTGGAAATGTTATTCCCCACGCTATCATGAACAAAAATACAAACAGTTTCACTGGAATAATCTTGTCATAACTTGACTAAATAATATTTACATTTGGCACCGTAAAAAATGCCGTCGTTAGCACATTCTCCGACGAGTCGCTTTCGCGGGCTTTTCAACTATTTCTACGTTTTGTTAAGTGTTAGAAGGGTCTTTTATACTTTCATAATGTTAGATGTTTTTCAGGACCAAAAGAGTCCCTGCGGACATTAATAGAAATTCCAGAACTCCGTTGGTTAACCAATTTTCCGTCGACATAACTGAGTTAATTAGCTAAAATGGAACTAAGCGTAACACACATGAAGCTTGCGCCTAAACATCTGAGTGGGGTGGGGCGGGTTGGGGCGGCTGGTCGGGCCGGCTGGTCGGCCGGCTAGTCCCAGGGCAGCTGGTTGACGTCGTGGGGCGCGTCGCGGGCCGGCTCGCGGGGGTGGGGCTTCTTCCGGTGTCTGACGCGCACCACGGGCCGCACCAGGGGCACCAGGGGCCGCGGCGTTCTCGCGGGCATCGTCAGATGGTGGTGGTGCCGCGTCCGGTGCGGCTGCTGCTGCTGCAACTGCTGCTGTAGCTGCTGCTGCTGCTGCTTGCGGTGGTGCCGCCGCTGCAGCTGCCGCTCGCTGGGCTGCGGCTGCCACTCGGGCTGGTGCTGCTGGCCGCGGTGGCGCTGCTGGTGCTGCTGCTGGTGCTGCTGGTGGTGCGGCGGCCGCCGGGCGGGGTCGTCGGCGTGGTGCGGCGAGAGGTGGTGGTCCGCCGGGCCGGCCGGGCTGGCCGGGCTGCGGTTGTGGCCGCCCTGGCGGGTGTTGTGCGCCGGGATGGCGTCGGCCAGGGTTGCGTTCTCGCCGCGCTTCTTCAGGAAGAAGAAGTAGTCCACCTGGCTGCGCGGCACGCGGCGCCGCTGGCACGAGAAACCGCCCGCCGCGTCCGGCACCAGGTGCTCGCCGTCGCCGTGCTCGCCGTCGCGCGTCATGTCGCAGCACCGCGGCGGGCCCAGCGGGTTGTACTGGTCGTGGCCGTGGAAGCCCAGCAGCCGCGGCCGCGGGTGCGACGTCAGGTAGAAGAAGTAGTTGCCGTCCACGCACTCCCGGAACAGGCAGCCCGGCCGTCGCTTTTTCTGCAAAGGAGGAACACGCCTTTTTAATGTCGTAGAACGAGCAAAAACTTAAGAAACAAAAAATTGTACTAAGATGATAGAATAAAAAGTTTGCAATTGCACGGAGTGAAAAATAGTTTTATAAATTGATAACGAAAAAAAGTGGTCTCTTACCATTTGGGCTTTGAGCTTGCCGGTCTTGTCTATACAGAGGTGGCGCGGCGGGGTGACATCTGCGAACACCAGTTCGACCACGCCGATCTCGTTGGTCGACCGAATCGTCAGATTGGCTGCAACAAAACAGAGGACTGCAATTAGCGAAAGACGGAGAGCAGAAAGCGCGCGAAACGCCGCGGTGACGTTTACTGCCTAATTACGACACGGCCTTCCCCGGGTAATCAAGTCACTCCGGGGATTTTGGCGGGAAATTTAGAGCCGCCTTCGGAACGGGCGCGGGCGGAATTTCCCATGAAAGCGGCCGCTTGTTTTTTGGCGGGAAAAAAAATGGCGGCCATTAAAAGAGCGGGAGTGTGTTCGAGCAGCCTGTTCCAGTGTGGCGGGCCTGGCGGGCCTGGCGGGGGGAGGGCCTGGAGGTGTGCATTGTGAAACGTCACTAGAAGTCAAGTCCGACACGCCTTTTTAATGCGTCCGTCACCCGGCGCCCGTCAATCAAAGGGCCGTCCGAGAAACAAGGGCTGCCAACACAACAATGTTGCCAACATTAAAACGCGACAAAATCAACGGACCGGCGTCTCGGCAAATCGTCGCAACGCCAAATCGTCTCCCCACTTGGTGATCTCTGCCCGTCCACGTGAGGCTCGGCGGCGGTCACTTTCGGCCTTAAGTCATCGCGGGCGGCGGCGTCGGCCACACACCGGCGGGCCGGCCGGGCAGGGCGTTTTCCAGAAACGATCCCGAAAACCAATAAAACAAAAAGAGCGCGCAAACGGCCGCTGCGCCGCACCGGCAGCGCCCCCGTATACAGCCTAACCCAATTTTTAAACCTTGTCGGAACGAACGAGCGGCGGGACTGCCGGGACCACCGGTGCGGCAGGGGCGGGCCTGGGCCTCCAGGTCGTCAGGCCGTCCACACAAACCACCGGCCGGAACGACGCGGCCACTGGACCGTCCTCCTGGCGGCGAGGCGGCGACGAAACGGTTCCATCTTATTTCGTGCTTTTCGGCTGTCGCGTCGTCCGGGACGGTCCGGGACCGACAGTAAAGACAGTAAAAGCTTGTCTATTAGACGCGGGGCGCTGCGCTCTGGCTCGCCCTGGCCGCGCCGGCCCGGACTGGCCGCTGCTATCTCCGAGCGACGCGGGGCGAAGCGCAAACAACTTTGAAACTGCGCGCGCCACTCGATCCTGAAGTGGCGTAAATCTCTTTCGGGGCGGATGGCGCGGGCTGGCGCGGGCTGGCTCCGTCCGCCCGGCGTCCTGGCCCAGGTCCTCCAGGCCCTGCCATTGGCCGCGCGGATGCCCAATGGCCAGATAGGGCCTCGATGCGCCTTGTGCCTTATCCCTGTGCTAATGGAGGCCATTGCCCAACCAGCCCGCTGGCCCGCTCCGCGCCACTCCGCGCTCCGGGTTGTGTTTACTACGAGGCCTTTGCCCCTGCTCCAGAGGGCCTGCGGCCTCCAGTGGAGCCTCCAGCGCTCCCCGCAAGATACTCACTGAACTTGGACAGCGTGACGTTCCTCGCGGACACGAAGTGGCCCTTCCTCGACGCCTCCATAAAGCCTTTGGTCTTCTCGTTGAACAGTCGCACCTTCTCCTCCATGGGCACCGCCGCACCGCAGATGACAACCTGGAAGCAGGAAGGGGGCGGGCGTCAAGGGCTGGCTCTGTCTCTCTCGCACTCATGGGGCGTCCCGTGTGGGTGCGAGAGGGACAGAGCGACGAGAACGACTCTCGGAAACAGTCTGCGAACCGCCACCTATCGCTTCGATCGCGCTCCATCGCACACGTACACACACACTCACGCACGCACGCACGCACACGACGCCGAAACATCCGCGTGCGAGCGTGCCGCTCCGATCGCGGGGTATCGCTAACGACCAAAGGATTTGTCTTCATTTGCGAAGCGGTGCCGGGCACGCGAGGCTGAGGCGGCAAGGAGGCCGTCGGCACCGAGACCTCTCTCTCTTCCTCGTCGGTCTGTCCCTCTCGCACCGCTCCGGGCGTGCGGGACGGCCCGTGAGAGCGAGAGAGACAGCGCGGCGACGACACTGCGGAATCAGCCTGCGACCCGCGCGGTAGGCCGTCCCGTTGAACACGCGCGCGCAGCGGGTTGCCTACGCGACGCGCCCGCGACGCATTGCCATTACCATTAAGGGCTAGGCCACACACGCCCACACTGGTGGCGCCCTCCCTCGCCCCCGCGGCGACTTGCGCAACTACAGGCCTCCGAGGCGCCAATGACTCGAATGACTCTCGAGGATGACTCACCATCAGCAGGCACAGGAGCTTCACGTAGACGGCTAGCTGTGGTGACCTGAAACAACAAGAGGGGGCCGGTGAGAACAGCGACAACAACAACATCAACAACAACAACAAGAGAGAGCCGGCAGACCGGCAGCATACATGCATCTGGGGAGGGCGTTGCGACGACGCCGTAAAATACGAAATGGTGTTTGTAGTGGTCACTAGACTGGACGGCCGACGCGCGAGCCGAGCCGAGCCGGGCCGAGCCGAGCCTTGGAGCGTGACGCATGCGCGCACACGGGCAGGGCGTAGGAACGCACACTGCACACACATTGCAACCTGCTGCAACCCCGTTTGCAGAAAGTGTCGCCAGGGAACTGGCATCGTTTTCCAACTACCCGTTCCTTTGTTTTTTTATCGCGGGTATCTCGCTGACAGTGTCAAGTCGGCAGCACGCGCCTATCCCTATCCAGTGGCGCCGCCACATGTTTCTTTTTTACGGTGGAGGAAAATCGGCGGCCATATACTCTTCTCCCGCGGCTCTACGAGGCTCAAGCTGTCGGCGCGTCAGACGCGGCCAGGCAGGCAGGCAGGCAGGCAGGCGCCGCGGGGGGCCGTGCGATACATCACCGGCAGGCGCCGATTTGACAAGACGCGCGTCGGGCCGCTCCACTGGGAGTGCGACGGAGAGAGACAGAGTGTCATTATCGCGCGGCTTGGCGCGCGGCTCCTGTGATCTCAGGACGACAACAAGGACTCCGCGGCCCGCTTTTTGACAGTGGCGGTCCAGCAGACCGTCGCTCTGTCTCTCTCGCACTCATGGGGCGTTCCGTGTAGGTGCGAGAGAGACAGAGCGACGAAGACGACTCTGCAGACCGGGAGACGCTGGGAGTCTGGGGCCAATTAATGGGGATGCGAAGGGAAGGGCCCGTTCGTTATGCAAAGGAAACTCTAGCCTGATGGGCCGCGGCCGGCCGAGGCTGCAGGCTGGGCGTGACGAGGACGCAGAGGACGCAGTGGACGCAGTGGAGGCACTTAGGCCGCAGACCGCCCGGCTTTTGGCTTTTGTCCCCGCCTCTGTGTCTGGAGCCTGACGCCGCTGTCGCCGTCGGCCAGGCCGGGGGCAGGCCGGGGGCAGGCCGGGGGCAGGCCGGGGGCAGGCCGGGGGCGGGCCGGGGGCAGGCCGGGGGCAGAGCGGGGCCGGGCCTAAGCGCGCAGGGATTAAGGCCAGTGTCATCGTAATCTCGAATGCGCCACTGCCGGGCAGGCCGCCTTCATTAATACGCGCACGGAGTGATTGACAAGCGCGGAATGGCGCGCCGCCGCGCCCGCCCCGCCCGCCCCGCCCCGCCCCGCCCCGCCCCGCCCCGCCCCGCCCCGCCCCGCCGCGCTAATGCAGGAAAGTCCCCGGCCAAATACTTGGCGCCCGACAATGCCTCAGCAATGACGGTCGGCGCAGCGGCACAACACACCGCGGGGTCGGCGGACTCGGCGACGCGTGGGCGCCCCCCCCCCCTCTCTCTCTCTCTCTCTCGCACCCCTACGGGCCGACGGCACGCCCCGCGAGTGCGAGAGAGAGAGAGCGACAGACAGTTGGGGATGACAGCCCAAGAAGCCTCTTCTCTGAAGTGAAGCAATTTCGGAATCGAGTGCCCCACGGTGGCGTGGACGTCCAGCGTGTCCAGTCAACAACGCCTCGCTCTGCTCGCTCTGCTCCTGGGAGTCCTAGCAGCAGCAGCTGATCTGTCGGGCTGATACGCCGGACGGCTATCAGACGCACCGGCGGCACCAGACGGCGGGTATACTGTACACGGTACGGCCCGGCACGGCGGGAAAAACAAACACAACCCACTCGCCTTGGCTCGGCGCGTATTGCCGCCTCGCCGCCCATTCGCTTCATTAAAATGACCTGCACTACTTTCGTTTATTTATTGCGTACGCGCGCAGACGGGCGGGCGGGCGGACGGACAGGCAGACGGACACACGCGCGCGGCAAGGGCACTGACCAGTCGGCCGGCCGGGCAAATGAAAAGTTTCACCTAGTTCCGGCCGCCCCGCCCGGCCCGGCCCGACCGCCCCAAAGGCTGTCGGGCAGCGAAGCGTCCTGATTGAAAAGCTTTATCTAAAGAACGACGGAACGAAGGCCCTGCGATGCCGCTGCACCCGGGCTGCGCCGTGGCGTCGTTAGCGGCCCACAAGTGCATCAAGATGGCCCTCGATCGACTCGATTAAATCCGATTAACTCGACTAGTCTCGATGTGCACGCCCCGAAACGAATCTCGAACGAATCTCGAACGAATCTCGAACCGGGGCGGCGAGATCTCCGGGGACGCGGAGTACAGTAGTAAGCGCTGTCACTCGCCAGGTGCGTGTGGCTGGCGAGTTTGAGGTTAGCGAGATCTCGATTCGATTCGAGACATCGCGGCGCTAATTGTGGCAAGTGACTAGCCGCTGCTTCGCCCTTGGCAGTCCACCCACTCGCCACCACACCACCAGGAAGGCTGGCCAGGACAGGCCAAGCCAAGCCAAGCCGTGTGATGCGTCGCCGTGACGTCAAGACACCTGGCCTTGGCTCCAGCTGACGGTCCGGCAGCACGCCCCGCCCTTCGGCCCCGCCCCGCCCCGCCCCGCCCCGCCCCCGCCGCTGCAACAGGTTGGCGTGTGTGCCCCCTGACCCGACCCCCTCGAATCGGACCGTGAGGCGCTCCGCGGCAGGCAGCACTGTAAGTGCAAGTTCGTCGGACACGTTTCGCACTCGACAGTTGGCAGCCCTGACGTGCCGGAACCGCTGGAGAATCTCGTCCATGTGGTCCTGTTGGGCCCTGCGTCCAGGCCGCGTACTGTTTCGACCGCCCCGTCAGCTACCCGCGGTGGCCGCGGGGGGAACTTCCTGTAAGGACAAACAGCCCGCAAACAGGAGACTGATTGCGGGTCGCGTCTCTCTCTCGCACTCGCGGAGGGCGCGGCGCTGCGGGTGCGAGAGAGACGGCGCGACAAAACACTCTAGCGGCTGATAGCGGTGGCGGGGCGGCGGGGCCGGGGCGGCGATAGCGCGCGAGGAATCGCGGAATTTGAACGGCGGCGCCGCGTCGCTTTGGGAAAACAAGCGGCGTGGCGACACGGCGTCCAGAAGAGTGACACGCTGGATTAGCACGTCGATAACCACACTATAAATTACTCCCCGTTTCGAGCGGCCCGGCGTGGCCCGGTGCAGCGCGCACCCCGCGCCCAGCTTAGTGCACTCTCAGCGCACGCGTGCTTTTGACAGTTTTACTCGCACGGATGGGGAGATAGCGGAGGAATTTGGCGCGGTGTCGCGTCGAGTGCGGCGGTGCGGCGAGTCATCGTGTTAGAGTGTAGTGGGTGAAGGACCGCGACGACGACCGCCCGGTGGCGCGAGAGGACGCAGGTCGAGTGTCACGCGCGTGGCCACGTCGCCGTCCCTCTCGCACGCTTCCGCGACGCGCCGTGAGTGCGAGAGAGAGAGAGAGAGAGAGAGAGAGAGAGAGAGAGAGAGAGAGAGAGAGAGAGAGAGCTGCCCGCCGTGCTTGCCGTGCCCCAGGAGGGCGTTGCCAGGCTTATCATGTTCGTGCCTCGCAGGTGCTGACCGCGGCCCACCGGGTGGCCACCGCGTCGGCGAATCAGGACTATTCTGTTTTGAGAGCTCCCTACTTGAACGGGACTCGAATGGTGGTGCCGATGGGCCGCCCCTCTGGCCCTCTGGCGCGAAACATACGTCGATCGTTGTCCCGACAGCCCAGTAAGCCCGCCGAACCAAATCTAAAGTGGCGTTGCTACTGGCACTGCAGATAGGCAAGCCGAACCCGACGCGCAATTCACTTCGCACGGCCACCGAAAGTGCACACACACGCACCGCGTGTCGTCATTTAGGGTGTGGGCGCGGCACGCGGTTTGTTTGGGTTCTCGCCTCGCCGCGCAACCGCACTGGCTGGCCGGGGCAGCCAGGGTCGCCTCGCCGGCAGGTTTGCAGTGGATCCAGGCCACTTGATCCACCCTCGATAGCCGTCGATAGCCGCCTGGGAGGCAGGCAGAAAGCAACACCTTGCCCCTGTGAGGTGCGCGAAGAGGCGCTACTCTCCCCCCCCCCCCCGAGGCAGCCCCTGGATCCGCCACTGGTGGAGGGAGAAACTTTGACAGCCGAGCCGGGAGCTCTCGCCAGCCGGCGCGCCGCGCGACGTGTTTGAACGGCTCCTTGGCGCCGCCGTGGCCGTCTCGGCCGGCGTCTCGGCCGGCGGCACGCGGCACGCCCAGCGCCGCGCAAACCCGCCGCCAGCCGCCAGCCCGGCCGGCTACACAGCGACACGCCTAGCAGACGACAAGCAGACGACACGCCCTACAACACGGGGAGGAGGGTCGGCGACGGGGCCGCGCCGCGCCGCCGCCATCGACGGCGGTAAATTTAAGGCGGTGATTCACAGCGAGGGGATTTCGATTTGGGCGTCCGATCGAGGACTCGAACCTCGAACTCGAACGCCGGCCGCGTCGCCGACGTCACCGATCACGTAAGCGCCTGGTGGACGGCAAGGCGAATGTGACGAGCTTGGCCGCCTGCAGCAAGGCCGCCGCGCCGCCGGACTGCGGGAAAAAGGCTTGAAAACCGCCTCCAAATTTCATCCGTCCGATTCCTGGAAGGAGTGCTTGACGGTGCCGCGACCGTTCTCCGAGGACCGCGCCGACCGCGCCGCCTCCCGACCAGCTTTCTTGAAACCGTCGCCTCGTCTCCGATAGGCTGACACTCGGGGAGACACGTTCTGCTCTCAGATAAACTGGACAGGGCGAGTTCCGACTCTCGGGGTTCCTTCGGGTTCCTTCACCACGCCGACGACGTCGCGGCCAGGGCAGCCAGGGCGGTCCGACAGCCAGCCGCCGCGCCGTGTGTCCAGGGGCCGGCTGCACCTCAAGAGCCTCGAAAACACACTCCCAGTGACGTACGCACACACACAGACACACACGCACACAGGCAGCGTGGGATTGATTCCATCTCTCGCGACAACAAGTCGGGTATTACGTGGAGGAAGCTCTTGAAACACTCGACTTGCTGCAGCGCCC